CCAGCACTTGGGATGCAGAGGCAGGTGGATCTCTGTGAGTTTGAGGCCAACCTGGTATACAGAATGAGTTCCAGGAAATGTTCCAAAGCTGCACAGAGAAACCCTGTGTCGAAACAAAACAAAACAAAACAAAACACAAGAACCCTTTGGGTAGACCCCTCCTATATGTTAGGTCCATCAGATGTACACTGTGCTTGCCTTGCTCTATAGGGCACAGGCCTTCCTTGACCTCTTTCCACACTGTAGATTCCATTATGCATCCTCAGCTCGTAGGCTCCTCCCTGGTCATCAGGGCCTAGCACACAATCATGGTGACTGTGCACATTGTACTTCCACAGGCTGTTCTTTCATGGTCATAGAGGGAGAGAATTAAGATGCTGATTAGTGTCTGGAACAGTCTTTGAGCACCTACACCCTGCTGTCTCCATTGGCTACTGAAGTCCTGGGGTGGGGATCTAGAGTCCTAGATCCCTCAGATGTCTTGACCACTGGTAACTCTGAACCCTTGGAAACTTCTAGGGATTGGAGTTATTGTTGCCCCTTAGGTCTTTGAGAGTGTGTTCTGGAGCTCTACAGAGCTGGCAGCCTTTATTTCATGAGGTCTATAGAGCAGTCACAAGCCTGTGGCACAACACTTAGTTCTTGTCTGGGTAGTCATTAGCCTTTCTGAGACAACACAACCCTTAAGATTCAGTGAAGCATGGAGTTGGAACCTCAGAGCTCTTACAAGACTTGGATATTGAGGACCAAACCAAAATGAGAGGCCTCAGGAATCTGAAAGGTGCCTAGACAGGTTGCTAGAGAGCCTTAGAGAAGGCTCAGAGCCCCCAGGAAACCTTTTTATTATTTTAATATTATGTGCATAAATGTTTGCCTGCATATATATCATGGTGCCTGAAGAGTATATTTTCTAGACAGGTTTCTGTGTAGCCCTGGCTGTCCTGTAACCTCAAACTCAAGAGATCTGCCTGTCCCTCATTATTTATATATGCATTTCTATGGACACACTTGTGTCATGGCTTTTATGTGGAGGTCAGAGGACAACTTGTAGGAATTCTCATTGTTAGGATTGGTGACACTATCCTTACATACTGAGCTAAAATGAGAGCCTGCCATGAAAATTATATACTAATTCACACATCACTTTAGGATGCCTTGCTACCTACAACAAAATGTAAACCTCTAACTTAAAGGAAAGTAGGGGATGATTCACAAAACTTTTATGTTTATAATGGAAATAATCTTTTTGTGTTTTTAGAAAGTAAAAAAAAAAAAAAAAAAAAAAAAAAAAAAAAAACCAAAACCAAACCAAACAAAAACAAAAAGCCAGGCAGTGGTGGTGCATGCCTTTAGTCCCAGCACTCAGAAGGCAGAGACAGGTGGATCTCTGAGAGTTCAAGATCAGCCTGTTCTACAGAGCTAGTTCCAGGACAGCCTCCAAAGCCAGAGAAACCCTGTGTCCAAAAACCAAAACAAAACACACCAAAAAACCCTAATAAAATAAAAATTGTATTAAGAGATGACAGGACAAATGAACTTTTGGTGTTTTGCCATAGGTGTTGGGTCCCCTGGAACTGGAACTATAGTTGTGAGCTTCCATGTGGGTGATGGGAATTGAATCTGGGTCCTTTGGAAGAGCAACCAGTCCTCTTAACTACTATGACATTATCTCTGCAGTCCAGGCTTTAATTTTTAAAATTTTCTTTTTGAGATACTGTCCTGGAACTGTGATATGTAGATCATGGTAGCCTCAAATTTAAAGTGATCCTTCTGTCTCTGGCTCTCAAATACTGGAATTAAAGGTTTGTACCACTATGCCTGGATAAAAACTTTTTTATATTATGTAATATGTATCCAGGACAGAAGACCTGGAAACTGAGCAACAATAAACAGGCAAAGAATTAGGATGAGTATCCTGCAGTTTTTCTATCTACCCCCATGCTATCAAATAACTATCAATCCCAGGAGCTGAGCAAAAAATCCACTGGCAAGATGCCTCATTTCTTTTCTAACCTTGTAACTTCACATATTGGCATGAGCCTCTCCTGGCTAAAGTGCCTGCATGTATCATCATAATGCAGTTTTGCCTGAATTTCCCATGGGCACATTTGGTTACATGGTAGTTATTTTGTAAGTAGTTGTTAAGTGCTTCAGGGAGTGAGCCCAGAAATAAAACCCACAACGAAAACATAGACTTATCTTTGGGTAACACTGGATCCCTTCCCCAAGAACAAACTAAAATGTAGAACCAAAGGTTAAAGTCAGTGATTTTTGAGACCCAAGACTAAGCACTTGTGCCACAGTAGCCCAACTCCCACCCCAGTAGGAAGAGCCAACAAAGTAAAAATAAATGTGTTTTTTATTGTGTCCACAAAAACAAAGCCAGGGTGGCCTTTGGTTAATACACCCTAAAAAGGGGTGACAACAAACAGGCATGCATGACAACTACCATCACCTCCACCAAGTTTTCCTCTAAAGAAGTGGGGTCTTATCTCCTGGAGCCCTAAGGGTCAGAAGCAATAGGACTAGGAGGCTCCAGAGGAAGGTACATATGGGCCCAATGGGTTGTGGAAGGCCAGCATTTGCTGCCTTCTTGGCAGGAGGAGGTGGGAGATAAGCACTGCCCTAGGCTAGGCCCTGAACCCCTTAAAGAACACATAAAAAGCCCTCACCCACCCTACCCCCAGCAAACACTGATAAGGCAATCAGCCAAAACTCTTGTTAAGAGCTGCTCAGAAACCAATACTCTCAGGGATCCATCCAGAAAGGGTTGCCTTCTTCAGCTTGTATGGAGTAGTAAACAAAGAGCAGAAAGGCAGCAAAGACCAGGAAGAGCAATAGCTGGCCCCAGAGTGGGACCTGACGATCCTGGCCCAGAGCAGCAATAGGAGCCTGCTTTTCTGGCCTGATGGCACGTCGGGTAAGCCATGAAGAGGGAGAAGATGAAGAAGAGGACACAGAAGAGGTGGAGGATGTAGGATAATAGGACAAGCCCAGTGAGCTCCTGGAGACGTTGGAAATGGGACGGTAGTGTGCAATGCTCTGGTAGACACTGTCTCGGCCATAGATGGGGCGTTCCCTGTGGCAAAAGAAGGAAACAAGTGGGCAGGAGAGCCTGAGGCCCAAACCTGTCCCTGTCCTTATGTGTGTTCACTACTCACCTATCCTTGCCCTCCTCTTCTGAAGAAGAGAAAATATCATCACGAACCTGCAAGACAACAGGGGTTAGGAATTGGGGGAAGGGTGGTTTCCCAAAAATGTCTCTGACCAGCCTACTCTAATCATACCCTAGAAGCCAGACCATTGCCCCCTCCCTCCAGAACGATTCTGATCTGTGGCCTTTTTACCTGTGGAGCCTTGCTACTCAGTGACTATACCTGTCAACTCTGTCTCAGCATCCTTTTATTCCCCCTTATTCTCAGAAGGCTTAAAACTAGATCCCAGACTAGAGTGCAAAGAATGCTACATGTGCTCTGATCAAAACAGTTTGTTTGATCGGCTGGATACTTGAGTTCAGTGTCCAGCACTCACCACCAGGGAGTTTACAACCACCTGTAGCTCCAGCTACAGAATAAAATTTGTATTAAGAAAAGAGAGATGATGGGACAAATGAACTTTTAAAAATGTCATGCAACTTTATCTTGGGTTTCTGGTTTTTATTTTTTTTTAAGACTTTTTAAAAATGCACCAACACTCATGCATACTATCCCAGACACATAAACATAATTAATGTTTTGTTTCTTTTTGAGATAGGGTTTGTCTTTGTAGCTCTGGGTGTCCTAGAACTCACTCTGTAGACCAGGCTGGCGTCAAGTTAATAGAAATCTGACTACATCTGACTCTCCAGTGATAGGATTAAAGGTATGTGCCATCACTGCCTGGCAAAGTAATTAAATCTTCAGTTTTGGAGGCCCCAAAGTAGAACTCTGACCCAAACAGCTGTATGCCGACCCTAACCCTATTTGACCGCCTAAGGACTACTCTCTGTACCTAATATCTCCTTGGACTTATCCAGACCCAGTTAGGATCCTCTCAGACTACATCCAGATATGCTGCCAGTCAACTCACCTGGTGATGGAAGGTGTGGGTATCTGCAAGTGAGGTCCCTGGCTGGCGAAAGCTCTTGGACATACCCACAGACTCGGGCTCCCCATATGTCCTGGTGGTCAAATAACTCTCCTCATAGTAGTCGTCATTATATTCTTGGGAAGGAAAAACAGTGGTAAAGGAGAAAGTGACCTCATGGCCCCAAATTCTGTGTGTGTGCTGTGACAGTTTCTCCACTCTAGAGCCATTGAGAACTGGGGTGAAGTCTTAGGTTTCCCTGTGCCCAAATTCCCTGATAAAGGACCCACCCCACACCTGTCTTACCCTTGCTCTGGTAAAGTAAGGCATCCTCTTTTTTGGGCAGATCATACATGTCTGAGTCCACGGAGGCTGAATCCAAGTCTGCATTAAGGGGGAGGTAGAGACCATTAGGCATCCCTCTATTCCCTCAATTGCTTCAGCCACACCCTCCCTCCCCAAGCCTTGTGTCTCCAAGCAGCTCAGCCAGGCTCTGCGGCGGGGAACTCACCTGAGAACCTGTAAGAGAATGAAGAGGATGACGAGTTGGGGGGCGAGAGCCTCCGTCTCTGGGTCTCGTACTCGAAGATTTTCTTTTCGTAGAGCTTGCGAGTGGAGCCTGGTCAGATACAGGGTGCGAGGCGGTCAGGGGGTGCGA